CCCCCCTCGTCTTTTTTGCAAAAAAAGCTTTCCATTTTGAGCTGAACATAGTCTAATGTAGAGGAAAGTCTGGGCTATAAAATGTGACCACTCCCAGCTCTCCATGACCTTCCTTGAAAAAATTATGAAGATTTCAAGTTCAATTTTTTCTTTTCTCCCTATATATTTAAAACTTTTTCTTTTACATAGTCTGATAGAAGAAAGTGTGCTCTTCAAAATAAGATGTCTTCCAGAATTTTCCGATGACTTTTCGTGGAGATATAAGCATCACTGCAAATGCCCTAAAAAACAGAGCTCTGTGTACAATATGTGTTTTTCTCATTATGCGTTTTTTCGACAGTCCCTTCAATCCATTCATATTAAGACGGATTTTTTATACAAGTTTTTTAGAACTTTTTGACTATCGCGAGAAGGAAAGCATTTTTTTCGAAAAGAAAAATTTACACCCGGAGATAAGGTCTAAAATATCTGTGATAAAAATGTGAGTTCGACTGGACTATTTTTTCGAGGGGTCGTAATGTGACTGGATGAAAACTAGAGTTTTTCAAAAAACCCAGAGAAGATCATCTCAGAAAATTCTGGGCAAAAATATATTGATGTTCTATCTCTGCTATAAATTTGAGTTCAATCGGACCTGTGGTCCACATTTGGAAACAAGGTGAAAAAAGAGGGGAAGGGGCATCCTTAACTGATAATAATAATGAAAAAGCCGACTAAACGGTCTCAGAGAAATTTTTCTCAACATGTCAAATTCTTGCACACATGATATGATTTATAAAGTTCGTTTTTTCAAATGTTAATAAATAAACTTCTAACAGTTTTAGTATCGTATATAAATAGAATTTTATTTTCAAAAATTCAACTAATTTTTGTCTAAAAATCTTTTTTATTTTTACCAAATTGAAATACATAAATAATTTACCTGTTGGTGCAATTTTTTTCCAATGTATTGGCCATGTTAAATGTGTACGCTCTTGTTTACAAGCATGATGTAATGAAAAACGAATAATTGCTGCAAATAAAAATTTAATAATCATATGTATCATGGTGATGTATAATGGAAATTTATAATCACGAAATAATTTTCGATTAAAAAATATTAGTGATATAGAACAACACCAATACAATAGAATAAGGCCAAGTACTTTGACCATTATGACTAGTGTATGACCACATGAACGTTGAGTGTAACGCATTTTTAATTTTAAACCAAACATATATACATTATATCAATTTTTATTGTTCAATATAGCTAAAAAAAGATATGATTATCTTACATGTTTTTTAAATTATCTATTGACAGATACTGTGTGTAAACATTTTGATATATATCCTCTAATTTTCATTTTTTTTCTTCTAGATCTAAATTTTTAAGATTTAAGAGTTAAATTGAAATTTTACCTTTTTTTTTGTTTTGTTTTTATTATTTTACTTTGATCAGATTACAAAGTATATTACCATTGGTCAGATAACCTATGTCTCTTCATAACAATAAAAATATGAAAAATATTGATAAATTAATAAAAAATAAAATCTAAAACAATCAAATAATATTCGCCAACGGAAAACTGTCAAGTTCAGTTCTATTGTTGAAACAAATAGGTCATTTTCTGATGTCATTTTCTCTATCTTCTCTTTTTCTATTCATGTGACAGATGTATTTGATGATTACACAATATGAATCATATTATGAATACAAAAATATATTAATAACAACAAGAAAATTAAATCTTTTGTTTTTGTTTTGTTCATTATTATACACTTTAAAATATAATCAATACACATATATTGATTACTAAATTCTACAAACAACGATAGTTTGTAATAGCAAAAAGAAAAGAACAGCTTTCTGTATTAAACAGATAGATGAGAGTGTTCATTTCTTTTAAAAATAGTTTTTTTGTCACACATACATATATCAATGTTGATTTATTTGCATCATGGATCCTTTCGTTTACAAACATGCTTCTTTTTTTCTATCTTCCAAATAAGCAATCATTATCAGTTTCTCTTTTCCAAAGTGAATATCAAATATTCGACATAGAATTTTGATGAAATATAAATAGGATCAGAGGATCAATGCAGCGTACGTTTTAGTAACAATTATCAACGATTTTTTATCTCTCTATAATTAAACGTTTGTTAAGCAATTCTACTTAATTATCTTATTGTGAGTTTTTTAAAAAGTTTACAAACTATTCATATACTCTGTAATTTCTCTGTGAAGAAGCCAGTTTTCGGTAAAATTTGAGCGAGCAACGGTATAGTTACCAGAAACCGAAACGGGTCGGGTCAATGTTCGAATCACCAAAAAAAAATTTACAATTTTTCATGCGTTTTTCTAGAGTCTAAAGTTACACTCCCTTTTTTTGGGTATGAACAAATATTTTTCAAGGTTCATTCGGGTCAGGGAACAAAATTTCGGGTCAGGTCGGGTTCGTGTCATATGAGTTTGACCCGATTGGGTCTCTGATAGTTACGATACATTATGACGGTAGGATCCCGTTAGATACAATCGTGCAATAATAAACTAACAGTTCATTGTTCTAAACTTACTCAATAAATTTACATGACAAATAGGATTAAATCGATTTCTCTCAATAATTTGATTAAAAAAAAAACTTAGAAAAGTTTTCTTTATTTTGTAAAAAATGCAGTGTCACAACGTGTCATAATTAAAAAAAAAGAAAAAAAAGGTACATAAAGAACATCAGCTAAATGACTAGTAGTTTCTTCTTACTAAATCTAAAGTTTGAACGTACATAATAAGAACAAAAATTAACAATAACGATGAACACTGTACAATAATCTACAAAACACCGGCAAAAGCAGATTTGTTTTCTTTCTTTTTTTTTTCTTCTTTTTTTTTTTTTTGATTAATCAGAAGCATCATTTTGTTGACCTTGTTTTTTTAAATAAGCATATAATATTTTTTTCAACGATACTTTATCATGTTGTTCATATGTGGCTGTTAATGGTTTATATATAAATAATGACAAATCTTGAATTGAATCAATAAATAATGATAAGTCATTAAAATGATAAACTATTGATAGTTGAGAAGATGTAGACGAACGATATTTTAATAAATGTTCTTCAAACATTTTAATTATTATTTCAAAACATAAATCTTGACTTTCATAATCTGAATAGGTTCGCGTTAGAGGATCACTTGTCGGCTGGATCAAAAGAATTGTATGAGACATTATTTCAATCTAGAAATTAGATAAAATAAATCATCATAAATATTGATTCAACGAAGATCGCTCGAATGTTAAGACTAAACTACGTCATAATAGTCTTCATATATGATTTAAAAGATTCGACTCAAAAATTAAGGTAAAAAACGAAGAAGATTAGGTAAAGAAACGAAGAAGTAACGATGTACATATTTCACGAGTATATCTCACAAAAAAATCGAAGTTGAAATTAAATTGGAAATTAATTGAAGTCATATTTATGAAATAGATTAAGACACGTCTTAAATCAACATGAAATTAAGTCGAACATTTTGTTTATCTTTATGAAACATACCCTAGATATATACGATACTGTAATCTTTTGTTTTCTTACGAGAGAACTCCTCAAGTATCCAGCTGCTTTTGCAACAAACGTATATTCTTATTAAAATTAAATATTGTTCATTCAATAATCTATTGAAAATGTGCATTACTCCAATCCAATTTGACATCGAATGTTTATAGTAGTGAATAAATGGTCTATCAGATAATGTTATTATGTACATATAAATGATGTTTTTCAGTATTTTATCACTAATATTGTGGACACAAATATTCTTTGATATAATAAACGCAAAAATAAACGCAAGAACTACAGACAACAGTCAGTTCATTCAACATTGGTGGTCTTGATTCATAATAAGTTTTGCATGTTTTTATAATGGACATCAATTTCAATTTGAGTGGTTTCATAAAAAGTCAATTATTAAAAAAAATTTACATGAAGTATATACTTATCAACAACACGTGTAAAAAATTATTTACCTATTTGATAGAGCATTTTCTTTTATTGATTGTAGTAAAATTATATATTTTAAGACTCTAATTCAGTATGAATTATATAAAAAAAAAACATTTGTTAGATAAAACTCTTGTTTACAATGAACATTCACATCAAATACTATATCTGATCAGATGTTTGAATGGTATTCTCTTATAATATGAGTCAGAATAAAATATATTTATTATTTCAAGTTCATAGTTGTATACTTGCTTAACTAATTATTCAAATTATTGAATATGTTCAAAGAAGATTATATTTAAGGATATTGGATATTATGAATAGTAACCAAATAGTTTTTGATCGTGTATGAATAGTCAACTAAACATTTCACTACAATTATTATGTTTTTTTTGATACCATATCATATTGTAAATAATTTATTTTAATTGTGTTCTAGTTCATCCGTATATCAGAGATAAGTAACTTTAAAATGTTTAAATTCTTCTTAGATGATTGTTGTTGATATTATGTACCCCATTTTCCCCAATCACTATTGGAATAAAATAGTTGTTAAGTTGTAAATATTTGATAAAATAATACGTATATATATATATATATATCTTCTCCTTTAAGTAGTATGATCATAATTAGATAAATAAAATACAATTCTTCAATTAAATTACAAAATAACGAACAAAATGCAATAAATACAAACTATTCGTTCTGCTTTACAATAATCGATAGTAATTTGTATCCTGAACAAAGGAAAACGGTTCATCTAACCTAACAAAAGAATTTTTTGGTGCATGAACATAAATCAACAGGATTGGAAAACAGAATGAAAGATTTAATTGCGTCCACATCAAAGAAAGAAAGTATTTGAAGTAAATCATTAAAAAAAGTTTAGAAAATTCCTAAATTTTAAAAAATTGCTTATTTAAGAAGAAAAAAAAATTGTAAAATACGCTTTTCGATCTTAAATTCAGCATGAATTTGAAACTACAACATGATGATGAACTTTGATCGTTGTCTAACCTATTCTAGAAGATTAAACTATACAATGTTAATAGTCGAAATGACTCCTTCAATCCCGAATTTCATCGTCAAAATTGACTAGGACGACGATGCAAAACAATGTAAAAGTTGATGATGAAGTGCTTCTTTGGAACGTCGAAAACGAATAATTCATATAGCATTCTTTATCTGATGAGAAGAGAATCCTAACTCACACCTTATGTTAGATTTATTCATCCATGGTGATAGGAAAACTTCTTCGAACACAACGGCTTTTACTTAACCTTTCATTTTGACAGGAAACCTGCAGCTAGTTGACTAAACAAATCAAACATGGAGCTAATGCTGCCAATATTAAATTTTTATACAGGCAAACATCAATTAAAAAATAAACGTTTTATCTGCATGGTTTGTTGCTAATTCTTGTTAATATCTAATTTTGTTAAGAACACAATTTGTCTATTATTGTTGGATAATTTAATTTTCATGATTAAATACATTTTTGATATCTTTCACAAAACGTACATATAAATAGTAGATAATTTGTAGTATCACTAGTTTTCATTCTCATTCTATCTTGTTAGAAGATTGCTGTTCAAGTTTTGATACACTTTGTTTTAAATTCGAAATAAATAATATATTAAATTTTAAAATCATTTAATAATTTATTTCAATCTATTATTTTTTTTCCAACTTTTCTCACGTTCATTATTCGGTATATACTTGTTATTAAATATATAACAAATAAAAATAATTTCGCTTTTGAATATTTACATTATAGTATAATTATTTGAATTTTTATTAGCTGACTAGTAGCAAAAAAATGTGAGAGTATACTGACTCTCAGAATCTTTCACCTTTTGTATTGCGTATGATAAGACATGTAAACCATATTGACTTTTAATATCAATTTAGAAGTATATATAAAGATGGACGAACGTAAACATCTATAAAAGCAAAAATTAGTGTTATAAGAGTACAAGTGACAGAGTATGCAACAAGTCGATTTAATTCTATTACTACTTTATGCTGTATGTTTCTCATAGTTTCAACTTGCACAAAATGATGGTTCAACAATGTGGTAGTGAGAAAATTTTAATTCAAGTTATATTAAATACAATTGACTATGGAACTATTTTTACCTCCTATCCAGAATAAAAGGTCATGGCTTTCTAAAATGTCCCGATGAATCGCAGCTTTTTGACTGGCCTTCTGGCTTGCACTAGGCCGTCAGCGGCCTTCTAATGTGTCTCTTGAAACATTGACTTAGGAGTGGCCTTCTATTACGGGAGGGGGTTTACTTCTCTCATAAAACTAACTTGAAATGAGATTCTTCTACAATCGCAGACGATTGCTCTATGCGAAAATATCTAATGCTCACTAAACAAAATACTAATAATTGTTGGCCGAGTTTTGCAGTATTTAAGTTACATATGATTTATGTTAGTCCGATGCTTGAAAGAATATGATATGTTTAATTAGTTCTGTTTAGTCTTGCTGCTACTAGATCTCGATGCTCATTTGAAAATTAACCAATTCAATAATAAGTTATGAAAACATGGAGAAAAAAAGAACTGCTGAAAAAAAAAATGTTCATTTTTCTATTTCCACTTACACTATCTCATTTTCTATATCACTTAATAAATATACATACATTGATTAGTAATAGGTTGTTTTTTTTCTGTCATAAAACATAGCAATAAGTTATCCATGATGTTTTTATTATAATATATAAACTCGTCCTTAAAAACATAAAATTTCTCTCTTCAAGCAGTATGCAACGAAAATACAAAAGAAAAAAAAAGACGTAAATTTTTAAAGAAGAAAAAAGATTCAACGATAATCACACGTACACACACACACACACAACACGCAACATACATATATATTCAACAATTAACAAACAATCAAACAAAAGAGCGTATTGTGTATATATTGCACGCATGCGCGCAAAATCTATAAAAATAGCAACGATTGCTTTACATTTTATGGTCATTAGAACAAACGATAGTATTATACAAAAACACAATACATATAAGAGGCTGAAAAGAAAGCAAACAAACAACTGAACAATGTTTTTTGTTTAGTATACTACATACGTTCTTATCTTAATTAGCACCATTTTCAGAAACAGACTATGTGTAAAAAATAAATAATAAATAAACAAAGAAAACTGTTGACAATGTTTTTTGTGAATGTAACGTATATGAAAAAGTAGACTAATATAGATGTATCGCAAACATAGATAAAATTGAAATATTAGAAGAAAAAAAAATGTTTTGAGGTAACATGAATATAGAAAAACAAAATGGCGACAGTTTTCATAAATACAGGAAATAAACATTTACACATGGAAGTTGCGGAATGATGAATAAATGATCTGAACAGCAGACAAAAGCATATAAAAATGGAAAAATCGATAAAGCGAATGGAAAAAAAAATGTTTGTTAGTATATTCAGTATCAAACAGATAATTTCACTTGGTCAAAAAGTCTCTTGTATGTTCGAGGAGTATAGGGTGGAGTTACTAAAATAAAGAAAAAAAACGAGAATAAATGAAACGTAATCATATAAATAATTAACTTTTCTAGAGATTGATAATTTTGTCAGATAATAAAAAAAAATTGATTTCATATAGAAAAGACCGTGTTAGCCTAGCGAATATCATCAAAAACTAAATTACAAGAATCAAATGTATTATCTTTAGATGTTTTGGGTTTTGTCATTCTTCAACTGAAAAATAACGTGAAAATGAACTGTTACGATAGAATACTTAAATATTTATCAGTCGTAAAGGAAAATATATATTTATTATGGTGAAGAGCAAAATTTTGTTAGCTAACTGAATTTTTAATCACGGTTTGATTTCTAAATATTGATAAACACAACAAACCAAACCAGACGAAACAAGTAGTACATGCTAAACGCAATTGTTACAGACAAGCACACATCAAAGCAAAGGATAATAAGCGAGGTCAATTCATTTTGTCAAAAACAAATTCTATTCTTCTTACCAGAACAATTTATAAACCTAGAAGATAATGTGTACACATTTTCTATATAACTAAAGTTGAATGAACAGTAGACATTTTTAATGGAGTAGGCGAACAACAATATTGTTTGCTCGATTCATCCTTTTCTCACGATTTATTATCGATTATTGACACTTAAGGTATTTTTTTAACGTATGCGAAAATTTTTTGAAACAAATTAAATTTTTCATAAAATTGCTTGAAAATAATAAGAGATGTCATTTTTTTTCTTGAAAAATTTGCTCAAATAGTCGCAATTTAGTTTATGGTTCAATACAGTTTTATGAATCAATTTCAAATATGATACTGGTTTTGATAAAAAACAAAATACTTAGAGGAGAAAAACGGATCTGACTGGAAAAGTTTCAGATCTTTTACACTAATATTATTGTTGCACTATATATAGAAGAATATTTGTGCAAAGCGTAATATTGATTGAAGTTTAGAAAAATTTAGTTGTTTTTCACTAAAATTTGTTAACGAGATTTTCTTATATTTCTTTTCACTGCTACATTAAATTGGAACTTTTTTGACATATCAGATTGTATGATTTACTCATGAAAATAAAAATAATGACTAGTCTCATTTTTACGCTAAATGTTCGCCTAGATGTCCACTGTATAATAAGACTAATAGTTTACTTACCAGTTGATGACGTTGACGAATTTTGTCTTTTCGTATCAACAGGTGCTGTTGAATTGTTATTATTATTATTACTACTAGTGTTTGTCGTTAATAATTTTGCACGTTCTTTTACTGATAAACGTTTGTACTGTTCATTATTGATATCGGGTGATTCATTTTTCTTTAATTCGTCTGGTACTGAAGGATTTTGTAGTTGAGTTGATACTGAGGGCGAGGCAGTTAGCGAAGCTGAATAAATGAATAAAAATAGAACATATAGTTAAAAATGAGTAAACATACGATTTACTTTTTTTTTCTGCTTGAATATGTCTTAAACGAACCGGTGGGACATCGGTATCTGATGGTAATACACGAGGAGCACCAGGTGGAAGTTTTGATCGAGCAAGAATAGAAGGACGAGGAGATGACACTTCTAAAATGAAATAAAGTCAAATGAGCTATTTACTTGCTTTAGAATGGAGACAATACGATCTTGGGCTAATTCTTTTTTCATTCAGCTATATTAAGTAGTCTTATTGATATAAACTGGATTACTAATTTACCCGACGATATATTTTCATCGACTAATGACAAACCCCCATGAGCGGAACGTATCATTTGTTCATTATCGTTATCTGAAGACAACCCTCTTATTGAATCACTGTTAATCAGAGAAGTTGACATTAATGTTGAATTTGTTGCCGTTGTTAATGATGCATTGCCTGTACTTGACAAAGCAGAACCCACTGGTGATAGTGCATGGTCACTATTATCCTTCTTGTTTGCAGATCCAATCGAACCAGTGGGTAATGATGGTCGGATTTGAACAGCTTGTGATGGTGGTGGCTGTGTTGGCTGAGACTGTTTTAATTCATCTGGTTTATCACGTGATGTTGTTCTAAGTGCAGATTTTAATTTTGCACTGGCTCTTTTGAAAATAAATGAGAAAAATATAGTAATAATAATTGTAGAAAAAGAAAAGCAAAAGACATGCTAAGGCGTCGAATACATTCATGCATTAAGCTTCTTAAAAATAGTCAGAATAAGTAAATATTTCTGTCCGCAATATTTTAAAATATTACTGTTGAAATCTCTTTCTTAATGCGTGTCTATTAGTAAATTAAAATACAGTTAATTAATAGACCGGAAAGGAAAAGCGGTATTTACTTTGGTGGCTCAGTAATAACCGTTGCTTCTGGCAATGGAGGCGTTGGTTCACTTTGTTGTACGACTAAATTGGATGACTCGTTCATCAGTGCACTCTCGTCGTCATCAGTTATTAAACCATCAGATGAACTTTCGTTGCCTTTGGTGGTACCGTTAGTAGAACGTTTAGCTGGCCGCCGAACGTTTTGTCTGCGAGGACGATCTTTTGCTAAAAAAAATGGACAGTTCTTAAGACTGATAAAAAGTAATAACAGTTAACGCCGTACTAGTGTGAGCTAATTTCTGCGTCGATTCAATTTCAACATCTAAATTAGTTGTTGATGTTATTGGAGTTGGAACTGGAGCTCGCTTTGCAGAAATGCCTTCTTTTTTTGGTAATGCTGGCGGTGATTCATACTGTTTTTTTCGTTTTTCAGGACTTTTTAATGTCACATCTTTCTCTTGTTCTTTGGCGACTAAAGCTAGGAGATCATGTTCAATAATACCGCCATCATCATCAATGGTGGAACCTGATTGTTGATTTTGCTTTGTACCATAATTAATCACATTTCCATAAATAGGATCGGTAGCTGGGAGAGATTGTTCTGTTTTTTCACCATTGTTACCAGCTATCGCTTTTCTCCAGGCATTCATTTTTGGAGACGATGATGATACATTAGAATTAGAATTTGAACGCTGATCACTACCCAAATCGGTCGTATTAGTTACATCTGGCTGTACATGAGTGACTGCGCGTTTGGCTTTTGTTACATCTAGAAAAAAACAAAGCTGTTTGCATCAATACACCATCCCTAATTTTTCCTCAAATACCTAAGGATTCAATCGAATCAGCCTTTTTAATTCGTTGAGAAGGAGAAGGATTATCTTGATTAACAATATTAGAAGCATCTCCCATTCGTTGAAACATAGCATTACGTGCTAGCAAATTATCAATAGCTAAGAAGAGCAAAAAGCAAAAATAAAAGCAAAAATCAAACAAACACAAGTTATTTTACCTATATAATTTGGATGATTTTGATTGTTATTGTTGGTAACATTTTGCCTTGTTTGAAATGTTGCAGCTTCCTGGATTAAAACAGAAGGAAAATAAATGTGGCTGGACGTTTTATATGCTCTTAGTATGCCAGATCAGTATGAAAATGACATTAAACGCTCCGGGATAATGGAAAAAAAGAAAATTTGTGAGATTAACTTTGAAATAAAGTTCATTGTATTAACAATGTCAATCATCATCTTAAGGTATTTTCGTCGGTGCAATCGTCTCTTTATATACTTACCATAGCCTTACGCATTTCCGTTACTGTTTCATTTGCAGTATCATAAGCCCGTTTTTGTAAACATGTTGCTACACTGATGTAACATTCACTAGAATAAAATGATACTACAGTTATCTTGATACAAAAATGAGAATTTAATCACCGATGTTTTCAGTACAAGTTTTGGTACGGGGTGGAAAATCCAGTGACTAACTGAGGCTTTTTAAATAACGCAGTTTCTGAAATTCAATTTCTTAAAAAATATATCTGAGTAAGTCAACATTTTTTAAAGTAATTCCAACTAAACGAGAGAATGGATTTCCAACTCCTAATCGAGAACACTATTAATCGTTGATATGAGCACATCGGCTGAATAAGTTTTCAAACTTTTTCAATATACGTACTACGAAGATATTTAGACTTCGTCTAATCCAATTTTAATCACTCAAACTTTTCACTAAAAATAAAAGACTTATCTTACCGTAGACCTGTTGATAATTTATCATTTAATTCTGTTTTTAGTAAACGTTCCGTTGTATCATTAGAATTTTGAAAATATGTACGAATTTGTTCTTGAAATTTCTTCAAAAAAAAAATTTACTATTAATCATTCGAAATTATATCTACAATTTTATTCATTACTTACATCGTCATAATTAAACGATGTTTGATCTTTAAATATTTGATAAAATTTTTTTGATAAACGCTCATGATGTTCTATTACTGTTTTTTGTAATGATAAACAAATTTTTTCACATTCATTTTGCAGTTGTTTTTCTTCATCAATATAGTACTCAAATAACTGAGATGATATCTAAAGTAGAGAGAATCTGGTTAATCAAATTATTCTCATTTGTTTTGAATGCACTGAACCTATAAGAAAACTATACAAACTTTATCAGAAGAGTCGTGACAAAAATTTTCCATCCACCTCGCTCCGCTTTTTCTTTTGATCATAACTCGGTAACGAAAAAATCTTTCGACAAGCGGTTTGTACCAAAACATTCTCCGTTCTCTCTAATATATTTGCAGATAAAAAAAAAATGGAAATATTCATTGTTACTCTTTGTAGGCCCATTACACCGAAAAGTGAACGTTTTCGGTCGGCAAAAATTTAAGTTATCGAAAACGTTTCCATACGCAAGAATTTTCTTTCGCGAAAATGCCTTTCTCCGTCAATCTTTTTTATGGGTGGAAAGCCAGTTTTAATGTTCAGAAACCCGTTTTCTCTTCTGAACTTAAAAGATCCAAATTTTCCTTTTCATATCATTATATAGTAACCACTTAACTACATGATGACGCAGAGATATCCAAAAAATGTTTAGCCTCTCGAAAAGATATTTGAAAAATAGCTGTAAGATCCAAAACATTAAAAGATGGGCCATATTCTTTCACTTAATGTCCACACTGTATTTATCTTACTCAGTTTTGGACGTTCTTTCGAATGACTTAATCAGAATTTCTTTTTCATACACTCATTCATGAGATTCAGCAGTCGCACTGAAGAGTACCACTTTTGACTTAAAGTTGCGTTTTCACGCTAAGGAAAAAGCTTTTCAAAATTATTTTTTTACCAGAATGTAGCTCGCACTCTCTTGTATCGATTGATCTAGTTTTCATATTTTGTCAGTGCTTATACAGCGTAAAAGAAGATTTTTGTTTATCAACTGTACGGAAAATTTTTTCCGATCGGAAACGTTCACTTTTCGGTCTAATGGGCTTACATGTTTTGGTGCAAATCGCTTGTCAAAAGCTTTTTTCGTTACCGAGTTATGATCAAAAGAAAAAGAGGAGCGAGGTGGATGGAAAATTTTTGCCGCCACTATATACGTAAAACAAAATCTATTCCTCAACAGCTTTCAAATTATCAACTGAACTCTTTCTTTAAAGACACGTAAGATTGTTCTTACTTTAGCTATTCTTCCATTTTTTGTTAAAGTTGTACGCAAATCATTTAGAGATGGACGATTTAATGCACCATGTAAATTTGCATATTCCATTGACGCAAAATCCCCGCACAATTGTTGTTGATTTTCCCAACAAGTCTTTAGTAAAGTAAAAATAGAGAATGAGCGTAAAACAAAAAGAATTTTAAACATAAATAATTGTACCTGTGCTTCTCTACTTGTACCAGCTAAAGCTACGATCTGTAAAGCATCTGAAGAATTTTGTGATGAATTTTGATTACGCATACAAATCGCATCGAGCTAAAAAAGAGGAAATGTGATGTTAAATAAATCGTCATATAGCAAACTATTGTTTGTGTTGTCTTATTATAAATGTTAAACATGTACATTTCTATTTAAATTGAAAAAGAAGACATAATTAACAAGTGCCTAATTGAGAAACACTTTGTTTCGCAATACCCATCTCTATGCATTCACCATCATTTTAGCGAATAACTCCTAGTTAAAAAGGTCACTGAAACAAAATTTGACTACTCGTATTTCATGCATTTTTACCAATGGAAGTGAAACAGATCCATTCTCTATCTAATTTTCACAATCTTTATGACTTCACTTACCTTATTCATCAGAGACGATATTCTATTATCTTTTTCATTAATTTTCATCGCTATAATATCGTTGACAGGTACAGGTAAATAACAAATCACATTGTTACTAAAAGAGTAAAACGGTGAACATCGAAAATTCTTGAAATCGTAGTTTATCTTACCATTCCATTGCATTCACTATCTCTTCAAAACCATTTAACGAAATAGAATTTCTATCAAAATAAACTGTATGTAAATGACGATTCAATTTTAAAACATGAGTAAGCATTCGAACACCATGCTCAAGCATCTGATTACCACTAGAAAATCAGACAAAATAAATATCAGTCAAATAATTAGACTCTATAATTTACCGAATATCGAGCAATTTTAATGGTGGACTATTTATAAGAGCAGAAAGTAATTCACCGGTATATGAGTCGCGTAATTTTGAATCAGGAATATAAAATGATTCTAAAGTCTAAAGAAAAAGCAAACAAAAAATCAGTATCAACTTTAATTATCATAGTTGATAACATACAGTATCGGTTAGTAGTTCTTTGATTGCATGAATTGTTTTTGGATAATTTCTACAGGAAAACAAAAAGCAATATGTATTTATATATAAGAAAACAACAAGTATAACATACGACATACTTCGATTTTATATTATTAAAATTTTTTCCGATATGTAACGACTTTAATTTACGATTTTTCTTTAATTCAGCAAGAAAATTTGATAGTTCATTGTTTAACTCTAAAAAGATGCAGACAGTAGTTTATTTTTTATTTATTTATCTGATTAAAGTTTGATAATATTATGATAGCTTCATTTCTGTCTGTATTCCTTTAGAAGAAAACTTTAAATCAGCAGCGATCTTACATAAAAACTGCGAGACAAACTGATAGAAGGATAAACTCTTCTTACAGAAAACATACCACAATTTGTTAATTCAAGTGTAACTAAACTTGGAATGCTTGCAAATCTGGCTGCATAATCATGTATAAACGTTTCTAAATTATTTCCACTTAAACGCAAATCAATTTTTTTCAAATCAATATTGGAATGTAAACCGTCACAAACTTCTCTAGGAACAAAAAAAAAAAAAATTTAAAATTCTTCTAAATTGATAGAAAAATGACTAATTACCGTAGAAATTCATTGGACAGATCAGTATTGATTAATTGTAAAATTTGTAAATTAGTTGTTTTTTGAAAGAATGTTTTGACGAATCCACTTGAAGATGTCGATGTTGTTGATGTTGATTTTGCAACAGAATTAACTACAGATAAACGACGAAGTTTTGATGTCTGAACTGTTGATAATGCATGGAATAACTAGAATAAATAATGATATAAATAAGTTCTATACACAACATATTGTTGTCTAATTGATAAGATAAACAACTCCCAACTTCTCGTAAACATCATACACATGCCAACTTTCTTTATAGTTATGAGTAACAATAACTTTTTTTGAGATGATCGTCGACAATCTACTTACATTTTCTATAATTAAGTCGTTATCGCCTAATTGCAATTCTTCAATGTTATTCTCATTATTAAATAAAACTGTAATATCCTAAAATAAATATAAAAAATAACATAATTTTTACTCAAGAAATTTTCTTTTAAATATTTACTGTTTCTTCTTTGAGTTTATTGCAAGATAAGTTAATCGATGTTAATGAACGTGATAAATATAAATTATTTGATAATGCTGTATTAAATACATGAACACTTTTTTGGGTTAAGTTACACGACACCAAGTTTAATGTTATTAATGGAGTTTTTCGCTGTTGTAATTTTTCAGTTAACTGAATAAGACCTAGAATAAAATAAAATAATTAATTTAATAAATGATATGTACAATATAAATAAGCTGCCTACTTTTATCTTCGATTGGATTATGTGAAAGATCTAGATGTTCAAATTTAGTTTGAGGAAAAAACTGAGATAATTTGGAGATGAAATCACTAAGGATAAAATAGAAATTTGAGAAGATATAATTCATCATAAATTACTTACTTTCGAAGGCTACAATTGATAAGACGAACTTCTTTTATAGATTCTGATAAACGGAGAACTGTAACAAGTTCATTAAGTGAATCACCACTCTAAACAATAATAGAACAAATATTTCTCAAATCCGTCTGTAATAATCAATAGTCTCACAGTAACACACTTACTAATTTGATATTTTCTATTGTTAATTTTTTAAACCAATTGTTGTATGTTAAAGCACCGATAATTGGTCTCCACTCTCTAACAAAAAAAAAGTTGTATAAAACTTATAATCTCTTTTTATTACTTATACACCACTTTACTTTTGTGATATCTGTTCAAATTCTTTGAATGTAAATTCTCTTGATGCTCTTTGAGCGAATATTGTTTCAACAATCTATACAACATATACAATACTTAATTCTTTTATAAATTTGAATTTGTATAAATTACCTCTATTACTGTTTGTTCTTGATGTATTCCATAGTGATCACATAAGCAAATATACATCGACGAGTATCCACCACACGGGCGAAAATCGCCGACACTTGAAGCGGAAAATAGGTCATTTGCTTGACGAATTAATTCTTTACGTTCCGAATCAGGATAAATGTCCAAACTGAAATAGATTAAACGTTATTTATTATTGAAAAATGTATCAATGTATAGTTTCATACTTGATCGGCAATAAATCGGAATAAATAAAACGATAAGCACGAATTAATGTGATTAGAAATAATTGTAAATTTGATTTTTCATTATGAGAATATAAAATATGCTTTTTTTCATCATCTGTTTCGATTATAATCTAAAACATATAGAATACGGTCGTTTTTTGTTGTTGGTTTTTTAAAACAAAGGTTAGAACCAAGTATAAACTTTCGATTACTGTATAAAAGATACTACTGGAACAAACTGATAGACTTCGACGTACACTAGATCGGGTAAATTATCTAAGACAATAAGTCTCTATAAACTTTCCATTCGAACACAAGGGTGAGAATTTTTTGTATATTGCAAAAATTTGAAAAAATAAATAAATAAACTCACGTGTGATTCAGCTGGTCGACCAATTCTTTTTATTGCCAAAATATTAAAACCGCATTCAATCTAAATGAAATGAAAGGAAAAGCATGAATTAATTAGAATTTACCTTATCTTTCTCTGACATACTTTGACAGGTATTTTCACCGAGATGATGTAAACATGTACGGTATCCATACATAACAGACGATCATCCAGTTTCTCCGCTTTGATTCCATAACGAACTTTTCCATTAAACGTGAACAACTGACATTTACAAGCACTTTTTGCACTTGCTTAAAAACGGAAGAAAACATAAAAACATAATCAGTCAAATTCACGTTGTTCAACCCACATACCCACTAATTCACTCAAGTCATCTCGTTCGCTCATCTAGAATGACAAAAGAAAGCATTTTTCATGATCAAACAATGAATTATTCGTTTGCAACGAACTAGCATGTACACGTCATTCAAAAAAGATTTTTGTTTACACAAGAATATTTCTGTTGTCAGAATAGCAAGAATCCAGAAAAAAGGAAAATATACATCTAGGAACTTGAATTTATACCTAAAGTTCTCTAAACCAAATTTTCTAATATTATCCGACGAATTGTATTTTTTCCAATACAACAAACGTGCACGAATTAAGACAGATTTTTTCAGCAGTCTATAGATTTTAGTGATAGAAAACCATTCAGATGTGAAAAATCTAGCAATGAAAATCGAGTATGGGAGAACAGAAAAAAATTCGAGACGCAGCGTGATTTGATACATTACTGCTTCGCTACAAACATAACTGCACCACACGTTATACTGGAAAGTTCATTTTAGCTGTCTAATTGCATCTGCAAGAATACTCTGAGATAAAACTCATTTGTATGATCGATATTGTTATCGGACGCATAAAAGACCTGAAGGTTGGAAGACAATGAGACCAGCTGATATTCAGCGAATGACTCATCAGATCTTTTGTTTAACATATTCAATAGAATACTACGCTGCTTGATTGATTAAAGTATTATTATGCTTAATCTTAATTGGCCTATGGAATATCACAAATCACAAAAGTTCTTTTCGCATTAGTTCCAACCAGTGACCTCTTTCACGTAAAAGATACGACGATATTGTATCTTGAAATATGAGTATTAGAAAACAATACACATTCTTTTTGCTTGTTCAAAACTGCTGTTGCAACCATATCAAATGAATCAATTAAGATTAGTTTATGTTAAAACCCAATAGACAATCAATGATAAATATTGGATATTCACTACACTCTAACTGTTGTGTGCACCGGTTATTCATTATATTACGGATTTTCTTGAATTTATTTTCCTCAATCAAAAAGTGGATGATCGAATTTCTACGGACATGTTTCTGTATCGTTCTGTTATCGTTCTATTATCTTTGAAAGAATGTCGAATTTTATCCCGTTCTGATGAAACTGGTTAGCACTTAGCTGCAGTGCTTCTAATGAGAATTTTTTGCTGAGTATACACGCACATCTTGTTTTTCAAATCAAAGCACATATGTACAACTTGTTTACTTTTTGCGTACATTACAGTATCAGAGCTGTCGGTACCAATTTGAAACCATACTGATGGCACCGAACGTTTTGATAGCGCTGGGAGCATCGGTAATGATAGTTTTTTGGTAAGTTATTAAGAAAATTTGAAAGGGGTCCTCCCTCCCTTTTTTTTTACCAGTTTGTAGCGGACACTTCAGAGTATACGTCTCAACAAAACTTTCAGTTCCCGGATTTGTAGTTTTTGATTAAAAAAATGTTGAAGTTTTTTCGGGTTTTCTGCCTTATTTTTAAAATTTCAATAAAAACTTCAGCTTTTGATATGAGGAGTTGAGTATGGCGTAGGTCGATAGAGAACATTGACTTGTATAAGGAGAAAAACTTTACATCGTTGTCAAATGAAGTTTGACGGAGAAATTTAATTTTCACCTTCCCGAGGAAATTTTACAGCTAAAAGTATTTTGAAAAACCCTTATGGCTAGTTTCGCTCGTAGTAAGCATTTTGAAGCAAAACTCTGGATATAAAAGTTGTTCAGAATCGAATTCCGGAGTCCCTCACGAGAGCTTTTTTTAAAATTTTCATTTTTTGCTTTTTAAATTGAAAAATATGAAATTTTAAAATTTTAAAAACTGTAAAATTTACTTTAAAAACCAAAAACAGAAAATTTTAAAAAAGGCTCTCGTGAGGGACTCCGGAATTCGATTCTGAACAACTTTTATATCCAGAGTTTTGCTTCAAAATGCTTACTTCGAGCGAAACTAGCCGTAAGATGGAGTGAAAAAATCTTCGCTGAGCCCAAAACCAGCGATACTTTCAAGTTTTGAACTTTTTCGTCAAGCCTTCCCGGTTTATAGAGGACACTTCGATGTGTATGTTCGGAAGTTTTTTCGGGTTACTGAAATTATTTGGCTGAGAAAAAAATTAATTATTTAAAACAATATTGTTAAATTCTCGACTTACCAGACTTACT